TTTCCTTTCCTTTCCTTTCCTTTTCTCTTTTTTTCTTCTCTTTCTTTTTCTTTCCCTTCCCTTTCTTTTCCTTTCCTTTCCTTTCCTTTCCTTTTTTTTTCTTTTTTCTTTTTTTTTTCTGTCTTTTTATGTCAGATGTGCATGAGGCGCATGAGGCGTACGCCTCTAGCACGCCTCATGAAAAAAGCACAAGAGGCGTACGCCTCTTGCACCTGAGGCATACGCCTCAGAGGTGTCAACGTCTCTGGCATACACCTCAAGGCGTTTTGGGAGCGCCTCGCCTGGAGGCACGCCTCCCACGCTTTTTAAAACACTGGTTATGATGTGATGCAGATAGATATAGGGATTTTGGTGATTGTCTTTTATTATTGTATGCTCTTCCCATTTTATAAGCAGGAAGTTTTCTTGTACTCTTTGCTTCAATTTTCATATAATTAATGAAATGTATTTTTAAACAGACACCCATTATCCTACACAAGGTGTGTTTTGTAAAGAGACTGGGTCGAATGGGTCCTAATATCTTCTCTTGTAATATCTTTTCTTTTATTGTTGGCTAATGGGCCTCTCTTAATGGACCTATTATTTCTTTTTGTATAATCTCTTTATGTTACTGCCTAGCTGGCCGCCCACTTAAGGGCATACTTGTCATTACTCTAACTTTAATTCTTAATAAAAAAAGGATTAGAGGAGAAAGGGAAGATAATTCRATTCTTCTTCTTCTTCCTTCTCTTTTCACCATCTTCTTCTCTTGTGTTGCTGCTCTTATTTCTCTTCTTCCTTTTTCTTATAATCTTCAAATTTACACCTAATATTTGAGGACTGATTTACATCTTGTTTAAACAGACAACTGTCATATTGGGACTTGCAGATGTATGTGGGCCTAGTTTTTTAATCCATTAGGATCAAGCCCTAATTTTCTAATCATCAATGATCAGAGACTATTAGATTCATGAGAGAACCCACATCAACATTCACCGACAATAGAGGTACTCAAATTTCTAAGCAACCCACATTCCTCCACTTAATAAGATGATATTTTTTGTTCAGATGCCCTCCTTCCGGTAGGAAGTTCCTCTTAAAATTCTCAAATGTTTCCACCAAAGTTGCTGGCTCCTTAAAGAGTAAGACAGAAAATAAACAAGAAGATTATATCATGTGCCTTTGATGAATGAAATAATGCCTCCAACAGGCAACATCTCTTCCCACAATCAGACTCTTACCAAGTAAAAACTGGTAACGCCTTTGAATTACAACCTAAAGGAGTCATCAAATATTTAAATAACCAGTTCATTTTCCACAATAGCCACTTCTAAATGCCAAACTCTAGCATACTGGCATATTTTCTCAAATCCTCCCTACCTTTGCAATCATTCGCAATTTCCTATGAGGGAATTCTTACCAAATTTATGTTGAACCCAAAAACAATTTCATTACACAACAGAGTACTCTTTAAATGAACAGTGACCCCTCTGTTTGCCTCAAGGAAGAGAATGTTGTAATAAAAAAGGCCATTATCTAGTGTTGGTCTCAGTTATCTGGGGTCTTGGAGGGGTGGAATGGATATGGGCATAACCTATTGCATTTTTGCACAAAGTATCCACTCTTAAACTCAAACATGTTTCTCACACTTGACAGCCCGAGGTTTTTTTTCAGTAACAGATCAATTGATTTTATTAATTATACAAAAAGAATAGTGCATTTACAAGTGCCAAATGCCAAGCACTCTTAGCTTGGTCCGGCATTTACAAGTGCCAAATGCCAAGCACTCCTAGCTTCCTCAGCCCTTGATTTTTGCACAAGAGAATGCTGCAATCTTGCATCTAATATTGGTATACCTCAATCCTTTTCCTTTTAGTTTGAAAACCTTTCACAAGTTTTGGACTAAATGTGTCTACTAAACGGTTACCACAAAAGAAAATACCAAAACAGAAACAAAAAAAACGAGGAAAAAACGGTTATGCTTTAAAAGCTAAACTCTCCCGGATCCCTTTTCTTCTTGCATATTAGAACTTGAGTTAAGGAGAATGCACTGAACTATAGGCCTCCATCATTTCACTCCAGAAGTTCATTTAATCCAGATTCTGTCTGGTATGATTATGAAGACTACGACTCATATTAGAAGCAAACAATTAAGGGAGAAGCCCCTGGGCATATACACAAGGGGTTTAAATATATTGGCTGCTGAAAGAGACACCTCTAAAGCCTAAAACATTACGAGTTTTAGATATTGGTCATTCAAATGGAAAATTTTCTACTATAGCACGTAAAGGGTTTTAAATATGAATTATTTTGCAGTTAAATATTTATAAATGCAGAGCATGTTTTTGATATAGCCAGAGAAACATTGTATGAACGTATCAAAATAAAGGGAGACAAAAAGAATATTGGTTTTGAAGGGCATAAAATATTGTCGGACACTATTAATTGCTCTGAAAAAGGCGTTAGTACTTTTGTTCGAATGGAACAAAAATTAGTAATAAAGCTAGACAAACTCACCAGCGCTGCCAGTAAATCCAGAAACAAATTCGCGCCTTTTGTCCCGCGCAGACACATATTCACTCTGCCACAGATGTCCATCAACAGAAGAAGCATAAATATTAAAAACTTACCAAATTGGAACACAGACAAAAAAAAAACTAAGTGGATTCATTGAGATCAAGGATCGGACTTTTATTAAAACAAAAACTGAACAGCAAATCGATTGCCACTGAGGTATCAAAAAAACAAAAAAAAATATATATATATATAGTCGACATAAGTTCCTTATGTCAGATATTTGGATTATTATGGTTCCATTGCATTTGTTTCTCCGCAATTTTCCTGCCCTCTATTTTATTTGATTTTATGTAAACGGCAAGAGACAAACACAAGCACGCCCTATTAAATTGGATACCATGAAGTAAAGGGGAGAGGGTGGAGAAGACCTGGTGATAGTCTTCAGAGGGAACGATTAAGGCATCGAGAGGGGAAGAATGAGAAGCCATTAGAGGCCTCAAAGCGTCAAGAGGATCTCCTCCCATCGTCTTTCTCTATCTCTCTGACTTCTTTCGGCGAATTTCCAGCAAAGGCGACCTGTATTATGCTAATGCGGTGATGCCCCTATCAAACACAGACGAAAACGAGAGCGTCCCTCGCGGGTGAGACACCCGTAGTCCAACAAGTAACTTATATATATAATTATAAACTAACAAAGAAAAGATCAAACAATGTGGGCCCGTTAATGGTGATTATCATTACACATTTACACCCAGTTCCGTAATTAGCTGGAACAATGATAATGGAGTATGAATTGCTTGTACGCTTCTTGACAGACTATTTACGATCAAGATCAAATATAAGGAAGTTTGTTTTGTTCAGAAATATCTTAGATCTGCTCAGAGGAGCTTTTGGAATTTGGATAAGCTATGTTGCGAGTTCACCACTCACCAGCCGAAGCTCGTGTCATGCTGCAGATTGAAGCAACTTCATAAATCTTGGGGTCTTGGACAAGGCCTTATTTCATATTTTAAACATTGGAACATGTTTATCAAAGAAAGGTGCTGACTAATAGTGTATACCTTCAAGAGGCTTTGCAACCTGTGTGGTGGCAATTGGCAAAAATGCCTTCACTCTAAGCTGATTGCTATTGTTAGAATTCATCTCTTGTGCTGGTATTCTCCCCAAATTGCTTTTATTCAATTCTTCTTGAACTCATAGATCAAAAATGGTCCAACTAGGAACCTCCTGACTGGTCTATGGCAACATCAGATGAACCACCCAGCACGAACTTCTTGCTAGCCATTAACCTTTTTCCTTGTCCTCTGTACAGAGTTTTGGTCTATGGACTATGGTTATCCTGAAATTTGAGCACTCCCTGCATACAAGTTTAGCCACTGGTTGGGTTGTTTATTTGGTTCGACAATTGTAGGATAAGGGCTTAGAATCCATTTGTAGTGATCTGAGTAGGTTGAAAATACAATCAATTATTTTTGCAAAACCATGCAAATGCAATTTATAATGTAGCAAAGAGAGACCCTGTTTTAATAAATCAAAAAAGAGATACTCAGCAATGAAAAACGAAAAATGGAAATACAAAGGAGCAAGGCCATTGTTCTGTAAAGGAAGAACCACGGTACGAATACCACCCATTGCCATGAAGAACCCCTCTCTGTAGTATTTCATAGCCGCTGATCAAATTGTATTTACAGTTCAGCATTGTCTTCAAATGGGGTAAATGTCTTAATTATTCAAGAGCAATGTACACAAACGAACACATCCAACAACTTCATTATTATTAAAAATGTAATGAAACGGGGAAAAAGTCCTTCAACCATATACAACTTTCTCAACAAACAATGGCACACAAAAGTAAAAAAAAAAAAAAAAAAGGAAAGTATCAAATCAATGGCAGTATATGTTCAGTCTAGACTCTTCAAAACATGAAATTCCATAAAAATCACAATATGAATTTTTTAATCAACAAGAAAAGAGACAAGGGTGTGGTCAACACATCATGCTCGGCCAAGCCTCTTGACAAATGCTGCCATGTATTTGCCCTGATGTTCTGCAAGCGCCAGCTCTGTCTCACTTGGCTCCCTTGTGCCATCTCCTGCAAAAACTCCAGCACCATATGGAGAACCTCCCCTAATGGAGTCCATTTTGAACATCCCGGCTCCAAAAGTATATCCAATGGGAACAAAGAGCATCCCATGGTGAGCTAACTGGGTGATTGCTGTCCAACTGCAACAAAAAATGGAAAAACAAAGAAAGGAGACAAGGTCATTGAATAGATCACAATTCCAAGCTAAATTAGAAATTATTATACATCTCTAATTGCAGCTATAGCTAAAGACTGGAACGGGCCTAGGATCAGCACAGAACTTCACAACACAAAAATGCTCTTTGAATCACTTGTAATTTGCAAAATCTATTGGAAGATGAAAAAATGGGGGAAAATGATATTTACAACTTATTGAAGGCTTAGTAAATTGTGAAACTTGTATATGGAAAACAAGGTGGTTTGTATTGCCAGTTTGACCATAGCTGAGTTTAAAAGATTAAAAGATATGACTTTGGGTGGGGGTGGGGATATTTTGTCTGTGGCATCTTCTGTTCTCAACTTCTCAATTAATACTAAATAGCTAGTGAAGGGATGCAAAAATCAGATATTAAATTTCCCTTCCACTTGAATTATCATCTTCCTTATTCATAAGTAACTAAACAATTTCATCTTTTATGAAAATGAGAGATCCTCAATATTTTTATTTTACGACATGAGAATGGAAGCAAGAGTTTTCTCATAAATAAATAGCATTTAAGCATATTTTGTATGACTTTATTCATATTTCTATAAAGAAAGAAGACAGATACTCGGTACCTACACTGTTCAGGAAAAAAAAGAGGGATAGTATGATATCTTTTTAGCTATATATATCCTTTCACTCAACAAAAAAAAAAAAAAAAACTATTGATTCCTGAATTAAGATTTTTGTATTCCACTAAAAAGACCATGAATGATATTTGTATTGTTCCTTTGAACTACTTTGTGCTCAAAAAATTCTCATGTTCCTTTCCTGTGAAAGTAAGCAACATATTATATAAAGCAAACAAGGGAAGACCCATTGAACTCTTCTTCCCTTCAGAGAAAAGTATCTAGTTGACCGTATAGAAATAATTTCCAGAATACCATGGGGAGATACTATACCCATAGCAAAACTTTCAAAAAAGGACCACAAGACCATTTTTGACAATGAAGCAACAATTTCTTAGGTGAGGAACTGATAGCTGTTTATTTTTGTATATGATACACATATTAGGGATGAGCAGTTCTTCCAATATCAAATGGTTGAATGCTAGGATCTTATCCATGCATACTTCCAACACGAAAAACGCAATCTTGGTTGGAAAGCAAGTCTCCATGTGAAGTTCACCGAGCAGGAGCCTCTATACAGCCCCTCTCACCAACTGATAAAGCACAGGTATGTCATCGGGGACAAACTCTTTGATCAGACCAACAAACCCTTCTAGCATTCCTATGATGAAGGAAAGACAAACTCAAGTCTAGCAGAAAAAATACAGCCAATGAATGTATTTCCAAATCCCCCAATGTTTTTGCAGAAGCTTGGGAATCCATACCACATTATCAGCCAGGGAGAGAAACATATGGTTTTCTTAAGAAAGCACATTACAGAAATATGTTGGTACAGGTTTCCCTACCTTTCTTTCAAATCAAACATAGCCTTAGAGATGCAGTAAATATGGTCACTTGGTACCCCTCCAAATAGGAGGCATGGGATCAAACCCACAGAACAGCAGGCTCTCCATAGGTATGGCCAGTTGCCTCACGTGCACGTGGCCACAGATCTAAGGGTGCAAGACAGGGAAAGAGACCCAAATGGTTTGGTTGTGTGCAAAGAAGACCGTCTACAGCACCGGTAAGAACAAGTGATATGTTACAAATTGAAGGGGCTAATACAACTAGGGGCAGACCAAAAAGGACATGGTTGAAATAGTGAAAAATGATTTAGGAGCCAATAAATTTACAATGGATATGGCACTGAACAGAACAGAATGGTAGAATAGGATTCATGTAGCTGACCCCATATAGTTGGGAAAAGGCTTTGATGATGATGATATAAGATAAGGGTGCAAGACAAAAGAAAATTAGAGGTGATTTGGTATTGTTCCTTTGCCCCACAGATCTGAAAATATTCTTTGATAATTGGAGGTCATATGGTACAAAAATAGAGCAAGATTGATGTAGACTAGTATCTTTGTTGTTTTTAGCTTTTAGATTCAGATCTAGGTATTTTACTAACAGTAACAAGTCTAGGAGAACCATTAGTTGTTTCCTATTATTAGCAGGATTTTGACACTAAAATGTTTACCAGTTGTAAAACGTTCCTTCAACATTCCCATTTGCAGTAGGAATAAGTTGTTTGGTATAAACATACGCTTAAAAGACAAATTCTTGTGTATGTTTCCTTTGATCACCAGATATCTAGATACAAAGTATTTTTCTGGGAAAAAATTTGTTTTTCCAATTACCACTCAGGATCTGTTTGTTTCCAGTGCAATTCTAAATGGGATAATTTTGCACCAAGTCCAGTTCTGCATCCATTTGTTTATAACCATGATTAACAGTCCTACCAGATACAAAATTTGTACTTTTTGTCTCATTTCCACTCACTGGAAGTACAAATGTTGCATCCCAAATCATCTTGCTTCCTACCTTACTACCAAACAAATAATCCTCCTTTTACCTCCATTCCCTTTCATATGAGGTGGGGACTACATCATTTTACTTTTACAAACAAACAAGACAAAGTCAACTCTGAACCTAGCCTATTTGCACTCCCATGCATTTACACCAGTGCAAACAAACTGAGCCTCAGGAACATAATCCATAACCTTGCAAATCCTTCTGGCTTTCACCTTGCACTAGGATGGATAAAAGATATTGTTCAATATATAACTCAAGCATTATTAATAACCCAAATATATAAATTAAAATATTAGATCGAGATAATTCATGTAAAAAGCAAAACGAAATACCAAATTAAAAATGACAAAAAATGATAAATTGATAATCGACTTTCTTTTTTGATAATCAATGTTGACTCAGTAATGAGAAATAATCATCATTACAGCAATAAATAAAACAAATTGAAAACTCTAAATAAAACAACTCTAACAAAAGGTTATAAAAGAAGAATTTGATGGTACTACATGTTTATTCACCACTTAATTAAAGGATAGTCAACCATCATGTCTGAATGTTTTAAATATTCCAGTCCAAAGTGCAAAGCACATAATAAAAAACAATTCAAAGAAGAAAGAAATACCAAACCAATGCATTTACAAGCAAAGCATGCTAAGATAGGTCAGATAGCCCATGGAGATAAAGAAGAATTTTTCCCTGTTAGTATACATGGTTGAGAAACAAAGGAAATCAATCTTAACACTGGACGGGGATTAACATATACACCAAAGAATGAAGGAAGCTTAGGCCTCTGCAAGCTTGAAGCCTGGAGCTGCAGCTATGCCGCACACTTCTGCTATGTTACCAAGCAACGAGTGTCTTCCTAGATAAGAATTTCTGGAACTTAAAAACCTCAGCTGAAGACTCTTGATCTTTGGAAAACAATATATGATCAGTAACAAAGATCATGAATTCCATTTATAAATAAACAAACAAGTACAACAAGAGGTTGTGGATTTACAATTCATTGGGATTTTGTTAACATAGCCCCTTGTTTAGCCAAAAATCAGCCAAACTATTAGCCAATCTTTGAACCCATTTGATTCCTAGATGCATATCTCTTGAAAACCATCTAAAGCATCTGGCTTCATTTTTATGGCTCTAAACGGCTTTACTACCCTTCATTAGCTAACTGATAAACACTATGGAGTGACCTTCAGTAATCAATCTTTCAGCTCCCATTTCCTTAGCTTTTGGCACCCAAACATACTGTCATACATTCTGCCCTGACTGAATCTCCTTCACCTATTGGACCTTAATACAATGTAAATAAATCCCATTCTCATCATCCCTTGTTACTTCTGGATGGTCCTGGATTACCCAAATTACTTCCATCAAATTTAGCTCCAACCACCCCCTAATTTGTGGTGTCCAATCCCTCTTTACTCTGGTTTTTCAGATGATGACCCTGCAACCGCCTCCCAATTTCTGAAGAAATCATCCATTGTGAAGTCTAAAAACAAGTCCATCGTCTTCACCCAATTTGCTATCCTCACTGGAATGATTTCAATTATTGCCTCCTTACTTATTTCTTTCCCCTCAAAGTTTCTTGCATTCCTTTCCTTCCATAAAGTCCAAACCACAGCAGCTCTTGTGTATCTCCACATAATTCTGCCTCTTCCCACACCTGAGCATGGTCACATCAAACAACCTATCCAAGCTAAAAATCTTTGGAAGAACAATATGAAGGCCAACTCCATGCTAATTGCCTCATTCAAGATCATGTTTAGTGGGATAGATGTGTGAAGTCTAGTAAGTTTCTGCAAAGATAGTGAAAGGTTACTTGTACCAGTTGGTTCACCATAATATGAAAACAACAATGGAAATGGTTGCTACCTTTTTTGATCAACAGGAAGGGGAGGAAACATTTCAATTGGTTCATGCCACAATAATCTATATGGAAGAGTAGTTATGTTGAAAATGAAGAATAGAAGACTATTATTCCAATTCTGCACAAGGAAAAAAGTACATACAGAATGAACTTTTTTATGAAATTCATCTCTATACTATTTCTATCCAAATTTGTTTCTTTTCTTTATGTGGCTTGCTGGGATTTAGGTTGCCCATGCCGCCAGTCAAAATGATGAGCCAAAGCAAGAGGTGGAGCAGGAAGAGCAAGCCCCTGAACTTTAGGTGGACCCTAGAGATCTCAATTGTGTAGCTGGTGGTCTTGCCAATGCTGGGTTGATAAGGATTGTTTGTATGGTAATAACATTATGCCTTTGTAAATCTGGGGAAGATTTTGTTTTTGGATTTTGGTGGTGAAGATCGGGGGCTTTCCTCTTGTCCAGATATGGAAACAGTATTACCATGAAATGGCCAAAAACATTACTGTTGACTTAGAGCTTGATACCAATACAGACATAGAAATATTGTTGAAGCACTTGAACAACTTTTCTTGTTGGAGATGCAAACAATACACAAGAATAAGGTTTCAATCTTACTTACTTGAGAATGCTAAAATGTCAAGTTTAAAACAAAATAATAATTGGTGCCCTAGGAAATCAACTCTTATTAGAGAAACTATTTAATAAAATTGAGCCCTCAAAACCTCAATCCTACAATTGAGTGGTAAATACTCCTACACCAAAAGGTACGTGTCCCCTCAATTCAACATGGAATACTATTAGAACTCTTCCAATTGCTCCTTGAAGTTTTTTTTTTTTTTTTTTTGATCAATAACAATTTCATTAATTCAACATAAGAATAATTACAAAAAGGAAGACAAACTTTCTTATCTTCCAATTACAACTTGAGCCCTCAAGAAAAGAAAAGAAAAAGGAAAGGAAGAAACAATAAAATTACAACTTTGCCCAAAACATTGATTCCCTTTCCACCCCTTGTTTAACTAATCCATCAGCAAAAGAATTAGCTGATCTTTTAACCCAACTCATCTTAAATTCCATCTCTTGCACCAGCCACTTAAATTTCCTCCTCTCATTGCTATAATTCCATAAGCCATTGTTGTCTTTATTCAGCCACCCCTATCACCACCTCCAAGTCCCCTTCAATTATGAGTTTTCTGATATTCATCTCCTTAGCTTTCTGGACTCCTTCCATAACTGCAAAGATCTCAGCTCTAAGGGAGTCACCCACTCCAATTGGGCCTGAGAACAAGGCAGAAATAATCCCATTCTCATCCCTAAAAACACCCCCAATCCCTGATTGTCCAGGATTCCCCCTACTGCTCCCATCAAAATTTAGTTTTAAGAATCCAGTAGGTGGGGTGGGGGTGGGGGTGGGGGGGTCCAAGACACACTCATTACTGATTTGATCTGGGTACAGTTTGCAATCTCACCCCACTTCCTCAACATGTCATCCACTGTGTAATCTGTGAATAGCTCTAGGGATTTCAGCCACCGTACAACCCTTATATAAATTATAGCCCTCAGTTCTTCAGCCCCTCTCTCAACTTCTGAGAAGATCCTGGAATTTCTTTCTTAATGATCATCATACTACAACCCTCAGTCCTCTCCACATAGTTCTTCCCCTTTTCATACGCCACCTGAAAAAAGAAGGGGAGAAAAGACTTTACAAGTCTGATGGAGGGTTCCAACTACACCCAAAGAGGGAAAAAGACCACTCCCAAATTGACTTTGCAAATTAGCAAGACACCAGTAAATGAAAACCAGTCTCCCCATCAGCTTTAAAAAGAACACACCAATGAGGTGACAAGAAAGTATTGGGTCTCTTCTTTTGAAGCAGATCACTAGTGTTGAATCTTTCCAGATAGTCTTCCCAACAAAAACTACCAACCCTAGGAGGAATTGGTCTGCACCAAACCTCATTAACAGGGATGCTCCTTGAAGTAATTTGGTTATAGAACTATATACTTATGTGAAGTTTAATGGGAAACTCCCCTTGATTAGATCCCTTTTGATGAGAACAAGGAAAAATCCTTCCACTTGACCTTAAATAGATCCACTTATCTCCTCGGAGTCAAATTGCCATATTTGGCACCCTACTCCTTGGCCTTTTTTCAGTAAATTCCTTTTTATTTTTTGCATTACAAGATCAAGAGTTTAATTAATGATTAATAAAATGATTGTATATGCTCAACTCTCCAAAAGGGAGAGAGGGAAACAGCAAATGCTGGCACAAAGAATCTAGTACATATAGTAATAAGCTACCTGAAAATTTTGCCCCAAAATGGAGGTTGTTCCCACTCCACTAGAAAGCCAGTTGTTGGCCTCTTCTTGGTTAAAAGTTAATAGTTATCTATTGCTCCACCAAGTGTATTCTTTTTCATGTGAAGAAAAAAAAAAGCAGCTTGCAGCAAACTCACCACATCTTGCACTAAATAAAAAAAAAATTACAATTTATTTTCCCCTTGCTTGTGTCATTTGTATGATGGAGAAGGACACTTCACTAGCCTTCTCCTTCATTGTATAGGCCTAGGCAGGATTCTAGATCCCTTGTCAATGGTAGGTTTGCATGTCAGGTCTAATTGCTGCTTGTATTGGAAGGCCTTTTTTTTCTTTTTTTGCAACCCGCATCAAATAGAACATGCTGAGCAAAATCTTCTTCATGTAAAACCTGCTCGATTTAGATCGGGAAAATCGTACGGATTTTATGAAACCATGTGCTATGGCTCGAATCCGTAGTCAATCCTATTTCCGATAGGAGCAGTTGACAATTGAATCTGAAGGCTAGTGTCCATGTTTTTGTCTGGGTAAAATGAAGATGAACAAAAGAACTTTTGCATGTAATGCGTACATGCAGATATACAAATTGAGGCTTCAAGGAGGTAAACTCTATTTCTTCTTAGTTCACATGTGATGGCCTCTACTTTTTCTTTGTATTTTTTTATTGGTAACTGCAAATGGCCTCAAGTAAATTCAAAGGAGTCTCTTAATGAAAACTCGAGGGGAAGGCCTCACCTTCCCTAGGGAGTGTGGCACCACCTGGAAAAAAGTAAGGCCTTCCTCAACAAGGACGACAGGATATTTCAGGTCATTATTGGACTCATCTGCAATGTAGACAACTAAGGCAGAGGCGGTTGCTCTTTGATTCAGGCCCAGATTGCCAAGTGATCTAGATTCTCTTCTGCCAATGCTATTCAATGAAGGAGTAAAAGGTTAGGTCCAGATCAACTGGATCTTAAGAACAAACTCAATTGAACATGGCTTAGCTAAATTAGGTGTGGAAAGGCCTTTATTGAGCACAAAAAGCAAAATGGATAATTAGCTTTTGGTCAAGGATTGGGTCATATAGTCCTCTCTTTGGCCTTCATTATATATTCTCCACTGCACTCTCTTTTAATCTTAATGTAACATAATTTCACATCTTATTGCTTTGTCATACAAGTCTCCCTCACCCAGCAAAAGATAGTATCACATTCCTTTTTCTAACCCTTTTTCAGAGCAAGCAGGTTACTGGACAATGTTAAAAGCTGATGATGAATTTCTAGTCTAGGTGAATGATAACAGAACTTACCAAATCAACAGGAGTATTACCTTACCTTACACGAAACTTGCATCTAATCCAATGATGGTTTTATTAAATATTTCCCAATTTTCTATCATCCGGTCTTGATAGATATACATCAGTGCTAAGTCACTTATTTTTAACTTCAATTGATTTCTCAAAGAACTGGTTCTTATAATCAGGAAATTCTGCATATATGTGAAAAAAACAACAACAACAAGAACGGAGACCAAAGAAAGACATGATCAGCCTAAGTAGTTGCATGTGTTCTCTGTAATATATTAGAATAAAAAATGATTAGCTCTCTTTCTCAGCCAATAGAACAACCAAGATTAGCAAGACTGGAGATGGAAGTTAGAAGTAGCCTTACGCAGTAGTTTCTTGTCCTCCTCCTTGTGTACCAGTGCTCACAAAGAAACCAGCTGGCTTGCCTGCAAGCTTCTGTTCCTTCCACAAATGCCCTGTAGAATCGAAAAAAGCCTTCATTTGCGCAGCCATGCATCCATACCTTGTAGGAAATCCAAACAGAATCCCATCAGCCATCGGCAACTCCTGTGCAGATATCACTGGAATATCCTCATCTTTAGGAGGGACCTTCATCTGCTCTAGAACCTCTTCTGGCAATGTTTCCTGGACACGAAACAAGACCCCTTCGACACCTTCAATCCCATCCACCCCTTTCTTCATCCGTTTTGCCAACCCCTCAACATGCCCATACATTGAATAGAAAACAATGAATATCTTAAATTTCTGTACAGGCTGAGGTGCCGTATCTTCAACTGAAGCACTGGCATCAGTAGTCGGGCTCTTGTCCTCGACGGGAATTGGCGCATCTCTCGCCGTTTGTGGAGGATCATCGGAAGCAACTAGTGGCAACCGCTTTTTACTTGGCACACAGCCTCCTCCTTTTCCCATAAAAAATCCAATCCAGTAACTCAAAATTCAAGAAATCACCACAAGAAATGTTCGATTAGAAAATCTTGAGCTAACTCGTCTCCTTCCGAAGATCTAACTATTTCCACCCATAAGATCCGCTTTCGTTTAAAAGATCCAATTCGTCTTTCTTCGGCCTGAAAAATAAAAATTCGCTTCTTGGGGATGTCTTAAGCTTCTGCAGCAGCGTATGAAAAGAACCGAAGTGATTTGACTTGAAATCCGAAGCGTGACTCGATTTTACAGGCCTAGGAGTTTCTGACCGGTCGCATATCTAAAAACCATTAATCCAAACGGTTTTTATATGCTTTTGTTCTCATTGCCGCCCAGCTGGATTTTGGATTTCTGTAGCTGGAGAAGGATCAGTTCAGTCCCCAGTCCCCACTCCGTCCATTTACAATAAAGAAATCCTATCATACGCCTGGTGTGCACGATACCAACACCTTACTTAGGGGTGGTGACACTTTACTCCCCTGAACTTTTGGATTCAGCACTTTGCCTCCTTTATGGGTGAAAGAATTATGGGATAATAGCATATAAGGGCAACTTTTGGGTACTAATATCAATAAAATTAATATTTTTAAAAAATAGATTAACTTTTTAAAAATAATATTAATTAAAGGTAAAATCACTATTTATTTTCTTCTTCTTGCAATCTGTTCATCAGCATTGAGGTGGGCGGAAGCAGAGGTGGCGGCGGTGGAAGTTGTCCAAAAGCGACCATGCAAAGTATCCCTTCACCTTCACACCCTCCCTGTATTCCAAAAAAAACCAACATTCGTTCACTTCAGTCTTTTGCATTAATGTTTTCCCAATACCCATCAATCTGTTGTAGTTTCAATTTCAATGCAAGGATGAAATGGAAGGGGAAAAGAAAACACACAGAAAAGAACTAAAGAATATTATCCCAACTCACTGGATGGCTCTTTGAAGGAAATAGAATATCGACGATGATAGTCTATTCTCAAGTCATCTCTCAAGGTTTCCTCCAACGTTAATGTACTGTTGTCTACCTTTGAAACTCCTAACAAACAAATTTGATGATGCGCGAGCTGAAAGCTCCTAGCTAGAGAACTGCCTGGACGTACTCGCATGGCAAGCTGGATCAATCTGTAAAACAGTGCTTAGAGGGACCGGGGTGGAAGGCCCGGTGAGGTCAATTTGATGCTTAAATTAGTATTTTGTGTGTTTGCGAGCTAAGTATGAATGTTAGAGAGCTTGAATGTGAGTAATTGTAAGTACCTTTGCGTTGAGGATCGATGCCCTTATATAGTTGAGTAGCCGTGAACCTTACGAAAAGGCTCTGGGATCCCCAGGCTGCATAGATAAGATCCGTTCCGTTTCCGAAGGAGAGCAATGCGCCAGTTGATAAGGTTTATCACTTTCCTCCGATTCGGACGGGGTGAGGATGAGCCCTGTTACTAGACGTCGTGGTCCCAGGAGATTCAGAGTCTGTTGGGGAAGCTTCTGGAGTCGCTTACATGGCGCTTTGGTTCTTTGGTCCCGAACTGGCACCTCGGTTCTTTGGCTCCGAACTGGCACTTTGGTCCTTTGGCCCCGAACTGAATTAGGTGTCGAGGTGCCTTTATGCTGAGGTGCTCAAGATCCCGAGCTCCTGAGTTGCTGGCGAGGCTCGCTTGCTGAGTTGTCACCCTACTGGCTGATCGCATCCACATGTACCTCAGTCGCTAAGTCAGGCCAAATTGCCCCCCACTCCCCATTTCATGGGTTGCAACCCTGGTGTGGGGAGTTTACGGTCAGCGCAAGCAGGTTGACCCAATTTCTTCTTGGCTCACCTCCCGGTTTTATGGTCAGACCGATGTAACCCATGTAGCTCAATGGAAAAACCAGGTCACGTATCGGGGATGCGCAGACGCGACGCAGTTTATAAACTCCGCGGATGCCAAAAATCGTGCTCAACTGAAATCTTTCCTCGAAGAGAGTGCGGACAGTTTTCACAAGAGCCGTAGGATCGCATCGATCGGAGTCGTCAGTTCCCGGATATTGTGGCTATAAATAGGGGGGACCCAGGTCCCCTTTCCTTTGTCTTTCGAAGTGCATCCGAGAGTTGAGGTCGCGCATCCGTTCTTCAGCTCGCGTCTTGTATCTAGGGCAGTTCGCTTCCTCTTTCGTCTTTCGGTGAGTTTGTTTGTTTCCTTTTTATTCGTTATGTCTGGCCTTAGTTTAGATAGCCTTCTAGATGGGAGCGGTGAGTCCGCTGGGGCCGAGGTGGGTACCTCAGTACAGACTGTGGAGCCTCATCCTGCCGAGGTGGGCACTTCGACACAGGATGAGGACTCCAATCCGTTCAAGGTATACTCACATCGGCGAGAGCGGGAAGCTTATGGCAAATCGGCCTCCTCCTCACACCGAGGTCGCTTGCTAGACAGTTTCAGCCTGTCTACAATGACAATGAACAGGCTCCTCTCCTTAGTTGATTGCTATAGACTCCCTAACGACCTCATTTATAGTATCCCCTTAGGCAATTTTCCTTGGGATCATGGTCATGACGAGATTGTGGTCTTCGAGGAACAACTCATAGCTGGCCTTCGTTTTCCACTCCACCCTTTCATAATCGAGATCATTAAATTTTTTGACATTGCCATAGACAAGCTCCACCTGAACTCCATTCGCAATATTGTAGGTACCATCTCCCTTTTTCACGACTATAACTGACCTCTTGACCTCGACATTTTCTCCTCGATCCTTTCCATCAAGAAAATTTCTGCATGTATTCTACCCGAGCACAGGCATAGTTACTACATGTCTCCTCTCCCCGGGTACAAGTTGTTACACGAGCTCCCCAACAAAGTCCTGGCTTGGAAGAAGCGTTACTTCGTAGTCCATAATGCGGAAGGGTGGCCTTTTCCAACCCACTAGAGACCCGCCATCCAGGACCCCGGCGTTAGGCTAGATAAAAAGGTGTGGGAGGAAGTCTGGGCTTGGGTGAAGCTAGGCTTGATGTTTGAGAACTTCGTGACTGAAGAGAAGCTCTCACAGGCCGACCTAAGTCCTCCCAGTAGGTCGCTAACCGTTGTGCTCTTTCACTTATTTTGTTTTACTTTTGTGTTGCATCTGACTCTATTCGTTGCTTTCTTGCAGTCATCATGGTCGACTTCTCTGCCGATGAGATCTTCAAAGGCATGTAGAAGGGAAAGAAGAAGAAGAGGGCCTCTAAGAAGGCCCGCACTCAAGAGGAGGTTCCCACTTCGGGTGTTGGTGTCACCACCTCCAAACCCCCAACTAACACCGAACAGCCCCCGGTAATCGACCTGGTCGAGGAGGACCAGGATAGAGCTTCCCCACGCCAATTGCCCAAGGAAACTACATGTTCCGAGGCCCAGCAAGCTCAGGAGGCTACCCCATCGGGGGGCAATATCCCAACTCGGAGTGTCTTGAGCGCGAAGCTTGGTCTCCTCAAGAGAAAAGATGCGATCTTCCCTAAAGAGGTTACTCAGTGGGCCGAACTATTTTTCTCAATACTTATGTCTCGTTTCTTCTCTTGTCAGGTGAACTTTTCGATCCATTCCATGGTCTACCAGTCCGAGATGAACTTGAAACGGGCTCTCGAGGCCGAGGAGTCATCTCGCAAGGCTCACTCCGACCTGAACTTGGCTCGCAGTGAGAACAACAAATTATTGAGGGATGCACAAGCTCAGAAAGAATTGTTGACTGTTCTGATGGAAGAGAAGGAGGAGATGAAGAAGCGCAAGGCGACCCTTAAGAGAGAAGTCTAGAACCTCGAGGAGCTGGCGAAGGAGCGGACTAACATCCTGCTTCGTTCGATGGAGGAGGCAAAGATCAAGGCCATCCAGGAGTATAAGTCTTCGGCGGAACAACACGAGCTGCTCTTCGAGACCGAAATGGCGGGCTACCGCAAATGCTTCAAGCTCAGAAGGTGGTTGACCCGACGTAAGTTTCCTCACCTCGACCACAACGCTATCACAACATCAAAGATCACCGAGGAGATGGCCCTCGAGGAAGCTAAGGACCCTGACTCTGAGGAGGAGGAGAGCGATGACTTCCTCGATGAAGAGACTGTGGAAGGGGAAGAGGGAGGTGACGCCGCCGCCGACCACATGGAGACCGATCAGCCTACCGATAATGCTACTGGGGACGAAGGGCCCTGGATTGATTGATACCTCTTGCATCTTTTCTTAGATCCCCCATATATAGTGTATGTCTCGGGCCTCTAAGTTCGGTTGTAGTTGTTTTTTTTTTTCCATGTACTTGGAACTTTTTGTTAATGAAGCATAGTGATTCAAAGAACCTTTTGTGTGCAAAAAAATTTTCTAAGTGTTGGTTATCCCGAAATTTTTTCTAAGTGTTGGTTATCCTGAAGTGCCAAGCTAACGAGCTGGACTCCAAGTAGGAATAACCCGGTATTATTGTATGCTGAGGTGGATGGACACTGTAGGGTATGTACCCGACCCATCTATGCACGGGCTACTCTCTTGCCCAAGCCGAAGAGGTGACTAGGACTTGTCGCCCCTATGCCGAGGAGGCGACTAGGACTTATCTGCCCATGTCGAAGAAGCGACTGGGACTTGTCTGCCTGTGCCAAAGAGGCGACTATGACTTATTGTAGTGCCGAAATCTTCTGTCAGCTTGGCACCGTGGCCTTTAGGCTTCTAGGAGTGACTCATTGTCCTCTCTCCAGCTCATCGTCTTTTTGACTAGTTCGGTGGTCCCATGGACTTAGGGGAATTTTACCTTGGAGTCGTGGACTCATAAGTAGTACCTTCTTAGGTTGTTGATGTTCCATGCTCGAGGTACCAACTTCCCTTCCAAAGTCTCGAGCTCATACGTGCCTTCCCCAAACACCCGTCTTGTATAACACCCAGGTGTTATAGTACCGAGCTACTCTCTGCGGCCAGGTCTTGCACCTCCTCTACCAGGTCCAGGTTGGTAAGGAGCTCGTCGTCGTTTACTTCCTTATCATAGGCCTCAAGTCGCAATGTGGGTACCTCGATCTCTGTCGGGACCACCGCCTCTTTACCATACGTGAGGTTGAAGGGGGTCTCACCCGTTTGGTAGGCCCAAAGGACATTGGACAGCTCATCCACCCACAATCCCTTTACTCGGGCTAGGCGAGCTTTCAATCCGCGAAGTATCGCCCTGTTAGTTACTTCTGCTTGTCCATTCGCTTGAGGGTGTGCCGTCGAGGTGAAGTTTTGTTGAATCCCCATCTCGGCACACTAGTTTTGGAACTTAATATCTTCGAACTACTTCCCATTGTCGGATATTAGCACCCGGGGTAGTCCGAAGCGGCATACTATGCTCCTCTAGAAGAAATTCTATATGTTACGAGATGTGATGGTTACCAGGGGCTCG